AAGAAATTCGGCGAAATCGAGTGTAACTATTACAAAATAAATCATTATTATATTAATATTGACAATAACAACCGACCGTCGTGGTACAATTATTCTTGTCCATTATTCTTACTGAAAATGTTAGATTACAGATTCACATCTGACTGAAGATTGGCCCTAGTTTATTGTGACGTTGCAAACTCTGCGGTACAAGGCACAAGCGAGGCAAATAGAAATAATCAGCTGATGGAGTGTAGATGTGGAAATAGGTGCATTCGATCAGCTGACTGTTTTTACAATAAAAGTAGTGTACTGTTCTTAAAATCTCATAGCATCAGCNCTTTCTAACTTAATGTATTGAAGGCAAAGATATTTAACACATAGTGAGAACTTCTACTATTTATCTCTCAATATTGTCTGTAAAAAACGTGGTAAAAGTTACAGAGCAAGCTTCTACAGTTGCACTACATTTTGATAACAGTTCAATATTATTTAGATAATAACATATATTTCAATGTTGATGAACTTCATACTGTTCATTCATAATCTGATACAAAAACATTACAATTACAAAATAATTATATCTACAGCCCCTAAACACACAAACACACCGCTTTCATAAATAACACACTTGTTCTGCAATAATATGTTTTATGTTTCCTGTAATTTTTTGTTAGGAAAGGACATGCCTGAAAGACACAACATTTTCTCCTTCTCTGAGGGTCAAGAAGGACATCCAAGAGGAAAATTAAAAGCTGATGCTATGAGATTTTAAGACCAGTACACTAAGAAACTACTTTTATTGTAAAAACTGTCAGCTGATCGAATGCACCTATTTCCACATCTAAATGGTAAATGGTAAATGGACTGTACTTATATAGCGCTTTATCCAGTCTTTAANGTTGATGAACTTCATACTGTTCATTCATAATCTGATTGTCTTTGTAGCTCACTGTTGAAATAAAAAAAAAAATTACAATTACAAAATAATTATATCTACTGTAGATATAATTATTTTGTAATTGTAATTTTTTTTTTTATTTCAACAGTGAGCTACAAAGACAATCAGATTATGAATGAACAGTATGAAGTTCATCAACATTGAAATATATGTTATTATCTAAATAATATTGAACTGTTATCAAAACGTAGTGCAACTGTAGAAGCTTGCTCTGTTGTCTCACTGAAAGAATAACTTTTACCACGTTTTTTACAGACAATATTGAGAGATAAATAGTAGCAGTGCTCACTATGTGTTAAATATCTTTGCCTTTAATACATTAAATTAGAAAGCTGACAAAATCATATTGCTTGTTAACATCTAAATGTAACTTTTTGCACAGAAAAAACCCTCAACTTCACTGGTAGGTGATCTAGTATTGTTTAATGGAATGTATATCAGTGTATTAAAGTCAATACTTTCTTGATTCTTTGTACAGTATCAAAAAAATAATATTTGTACCTGTGCTGAAGTGCACATGGAGAAGCGTACTGACAGCGCAGCGTCATAATTCCTGAATGAAAAGTGAACTTTAATATTAGACATATGAAGAAGTTAAACTTTAAACATCCATGA